TTGGACATGTCAACAAGAAACGCATAGCCCAACTTCAAACGGATGGAGTGTTGGGGTCATTCAACCTTAGGGACGATGACGTGTGCGAGTCTTGTTTGCTTGGAAAGATGACTAAGTCAACCTTCACTGGTACTTGTGAAAGGGCTGAGGGTTTATTAGATCTCATACATATCGATGTATGTGGACCCTTTAGATCCACCACAAGGGATGCTTTCCGCTTCTATGTGACTTTCACCGATGATTACAACAGATATGGGTATATATACTTAATCAAACACAAGTCAGAAACCTTTGAAAAGTTCAAAGAGTTTAAGCAGGAAGTGGAGAACCAGCTGGGCAGGAAAATTAAGATGCTCCGATCCGATCGAGATGGTGAGTATCTTAGTCTTGAATTCCACGACTATCCACTACAAGAAAAACATGATTTTGCTAGGGAAGCGCACTATGGAACGTATTTTCGTTGTTAATCTGCAATGGATCGTGGTATGGACTGTCGTTCCATAGCAAGATTGCTACCACATTGTCTACGAAATTTATTTTTGGTAGCGAGCATGGGACTTGCTAGGGAAAATGCTACCGACTCCATATCCGTTGGTATTATGCTACCGTATTTCTATGGAAAAAACATTCCTAGCAATTTTCCAACGAATTTTTTTACGAAAACACATACCGTTGTACTATTGCTATGGAATTAATTATCATGGTTAAGATGCAACGGAGTTGTCCAACGGAAAACAATTCCATAGTTGCTTTGCTATGGAAGTACTATTCGTAGATATTTACCTTCGGAATTATGTTGCGGAATTTTATTTATGTTGCTTTTTTTGCTATGGAAAAAAAATTCCTAGCTAAGTTGTTAGGAATTTTGTTAAGAAATTTAATTACATAGAAAATTTGCTAAGGAACTCAAATTCATAGCTATTTAGCTATGAAAATTTGCAATGACAATAAAACTTGTGGAATTTTAAATATGGAGCTAATATCCGTTGCAACTTTTGTTACAAATTTTGTTAGGAGTTGATATTTTGTAGCTATTCAGCAACAAATATTAGCTACAAAAACCAGTTTCATAGATGATTTGCTATGGAGTAAATGTCCATCGCTATTTTGTAATGATTTTTGTTACGAAATTAAATTCGATAGCATTTATGCTAAGTAATTATAATTCATAGTTATGTTGTTAAGGAAATTTGCTACCAAAATCAATTTCGTATTTGTTTTTCTTTGGAGTAAATTAATTGTTGATGTTTTGTTATGAATATTGTTAAGGAATGAAATTATGTTACCAAAATCAATAAAGAATGCACCTAAAAAAACGTTCATAATAATCATTTCTCTTGTTTGGTTGTATTAAACAATGAAATGGAAACAAGTTTTTTTTACCATGTTTATTACTTTTCAAACAACATTTTATTTTATAATAAAGCTATCTCATAACTCAAAAGATATATTATTTCTGCTAGCCTTATAAACGTAATGTGATATGCAAGTTTTCAAATTTATATATAAAATCTGAAATACAAAAAGTTTAACAAATACATAAATTTAAAAACAAATACACAAAGTTTAACAAATAACATATGTATATCTGTATGTTTCTTTCTTTCTTTTTTGCTTTCTTCTCTTATCATGATCCAAGACCACGACCTTCTTCTCACAATGGCTGGAGTCATGAAGTCACATGTATTGTTTTGAATATTTTAATTGAATCTTTCCTTCAAATATAGAGCTTTTATGCCCACAATTATGAGTAGAGGCTCAACCACTTAATTGGGCTTCAAGTAACGAACAAATGAGATTCATATTGCAAATTTACCAACTATCAACATAGTAAAGAAAATATCATACCAATGCTAGCTTGCCTATGAAATATTAGAGTGAAATTAAACTTATGCTAACTAGATGAAGTTTTAAAAATCATATTAGGAAGATTTATACATACATGCATCTCAATGATGTTTCATTCAAACTCAAACATTAACAAAGTTAATATGGTAAAGGCATTTAAACAAACAGCTCGTGGGCATCAATTTTATCATCAGAATCTTAAAGAAAGATTAATTGTGTAAAGCTAAAAAAAGGTTCAACCTAACAAGATGATCGATTTAGAGAAATCACTAGATAAATTATGTTTCTTACCAGAAGTTTATCCAAGATATAAGGAAATTCATGCAATAATAGCAATCATGAAGAAATCGCATGAACAATAGCAAAAAATGAAACATATAAAAAATCAAATACAGTTTGGTGACATAATCCAACTTCAAACACCAAGAACCAAATTCAAATACTGAGAAGCGACTTTATACAAAATAATTATCCACAAAGTGATGAAGTGAATCAACAACAGAGAAGCATGTAGTTCTATTAAATGGTTGTTTATGTAGGGTAACCAACGTGGGAAGGGTACATGTGAAATCCAAGTGAAAAAATTGGTTGATGCCTTTTGTAGGTTCGAATACGGAGTGGATGTAGCGCACGACTGAAGCAGGCGAGCGATAAGTGAGAAGGGTAGAACAGAGAATATGAAAAGAAAACTTCCATTCATTTGAGGTGAGCGGGAACTATGGTCGATTTAGGGGTGGGGAGAACTGAGGTATGAATGCCATAAAAAGAGGTGAGAAATCAATACCAGAAAACATCCGAATTTTATGTTAATATTTAAAAATAATTGAGAGACAGATGGAGGAGGAAGGGTATGCAAATAGGGCTTATGGAGATTAGTCTCTGATTTAGAGTTTCGCAAACACCATAAATGATGGCAATCAGTCCATGTGTGAAGTGTTCGTTTATGGATCTTCGACTTTCACCGCCATGAAGGTGGTGCTCGGGTGGTTGTGGTGAGAAAGAAAGAACTGAGACCTATGGGGCGTGGAGAAGAGGGAAACCTAGGTAGAGAGAGTGGGGAATTAGAATTTTGCACAACGATTCTAGAGGGAAAGGGTAAAAGCCCGCTCAAAATTTGGGTCTGTCAGATCCGTAGGAGTTTCATAAAGATGATGATGATTATTATTATTATTATTATTATTATTATTATAGTTTTTTATGAATATGGTAATTAATTGTTTTTATTAAATATATAGTTTTTTATGTAATAAAAAATAAAAGTCTAAATTTGTTCATAATATGTTACTAATTTTATGATTTGGTTGTATTTGTATTTGTTTTTATCTAAAATTGTTCTAAATTTTATGATTTCGTCACTAATGAACTACATGTATTTAACCGTAGTAACTTTAAAGTAAAAATCAATGAGTTAGCTATGGATTTTAATTTTGTAATAAATTTTATGGTCGGATGACCTGTATAGGTTTAAGATATTTGTTGTAGGGTTTAGGGTGTAGGCCTTATGGCTTATGGATTAGAAGTATGACTTAAGTATTAGGCCTTATAGCTTAAGGCTTAGAGTGTATAACTTATGACTTAGGTCATAAGGCTTATGGCATATGGTTTAGGTTTTATGCTGTATTGATTAATGAAGGTTGACTCTCATGACATATTTCTTGGGGCTTGGGGTTTAGGGCATAAGGCTTATAGCTTAAGGATTTTGCTTTATGACTTATGGTTTATGGGTTAACTATTGTGGCTTGTGTATACGGGCTTAGGGAATATGACTTATGACTTTTGTCTTACAAATTAGGGTTTACTGCTTAATGTTTATGGTTTATAACTTTTGACTTATGGTTAATGGTTTAGAGCTTATGCCTTATGGCTTATGTCTTGTGGCTTATGACTTAGGGGTTAGGGGTTAGGCTTATTCTTATGACTTAGGACATATGGTTTACGGATTATGGCTTATGAGTCATGGCTTAGGGCTCAACCTAAGAGATTATGGTCCATGAGTTAGGGCTAATGTTCAGGGTTTAGAATTTGTAGTGCATGGCTTAGTGCTTATGGATTATGACTTAATGTGTATGGCTTAGGGCTTATGGCTTATTGCTTAGGGTTTATGGCTTAAATAGTAAGGCTTAGGGTTTAGGGCTTAGTGTTTAGGGCATATGGCTTATTGCTTAGGGTTTATTGCTTCGGGTTTATGGCTTAGGGTTTAGGGCTTATGGCTTATTGCTTAGGGTTTATGGCTTAAAGAGTAACGCATAGGGTTTAGGGCTTAGGGTTTAGGGCTTTTGGCTTATTCCTTAGGGTTTATTGCTTAGGGTTTATGGCTTAGGGTTTAGGGGATATGGCTTATTGCTTAGGGTTTATGGCTTAAAGAGTAAGGCTTAGGGTTTAGGGCTTATGGCTTATTGCTTAGGGTTTATTGCTTAGGGTTTATGGCTTAGGGTTTAGGGCTTATGGCTTATTGCTTAGGTTTTATGGCTTAAAGAGTAAGGCTTAGGCTTTAGGGCTTAGGGTTTAGGGCTTATGGCTTATTGCTTAAGGTTTATTGCTTAGGGTTTATGGCTTAGGGTTTAGGGCTTATGGCTAAATGCTTAGTGTTTATGGCTTAAAGAGTAAGGCTTAGGGTTTAGGGCTTATGGCTTATTGCTTAGGGTTTATTGCTTAGGGTTTATGGCTTAGGGTTTAGGGCATGACTTATTGCTTATTGCTTTTGGCTTTTGGCTTATAGCTTATAGTTTAGTCCTTATGGCTTATTGCTTAGGGTTTATTACTATATTTTTATTTTTCACAACTCAACCCATGAGTAGCAAAATAAAAATATTTAAATTTTCCTTCAAAATTTATAAATATTAATAGATATTTAGGTTTTAACTTTATGATTACATTAATAAGTTACTAATTTCAAGATAAAAATAATAATATAAAATATTATAATATAATATAATATAATAAACAAAATTATTTAGTAAAAAATTAAATATTTATTTTCTAAATTTAAGATAGATAAATTTTTATTGATTTTGATATTCCCTCCTATATTTTAAAATATTTTGGTTTTCCCTCTTATATTTTTAAAATATTTTGAATTTTTAAAATATTTTGAATTTTGGTTTTCCCTCTTATAAAAAAAGTCTTGACCACTTCTAAACCTAAAAGATAAAAAAAGGAGCTTTCATTCCAAAAAAAAATGCCCCTCGTCTCTTTTTTCCCCCATCGAATCAGCCTCCTTCTCCATCGGCCTTGGCTTGGAGATCTTCGCACGTCACCGACACAGCTTCACCTTCAATCGCCGTATCTTCTCATCCACTTCGTCGCCGAAGTCTTCCTCATGAAATCGACAGGTATGTGTTCTTTCTCGTGCCGGTTGTTGCTCCTTTTTCAGAAATCGATTTTCTGATTTCTGATTCTTCTTCGTCATCGCAGCCTCGTTTTTATCTTCATGAATCGAGCACACGAACCACATCAACATCAGACTGGAATGTGAACCCAATCGACACTTGATCTCGTGAATCTGTTAAACCCCCCCTCTTGAATTCTCTCTCACATGAGGTAAGATATTCGGAATTCTGAACTAAATCAGTCTCAATTCATTATTATTGGCTTTTAGTTTCTTATATTGATGCTCGACATACATTACATTGGTTGAAATTGAATTTCAATTGTACTGATGTGATCCAGAGAAGCTTGGTTGGAATCTTCTTTCATTTCTCATATTGGTAAAATAGTTCAATACATATCGATTGAAGGCAAATGGGAAACAAGCTGCGCCACTAGCACTTTTTGGATGGCAAAACGAATTCTTTTGAAAACAACATTTATGGCTGGAATCGGAATTTTGAATAGGTTTGTCATCAGATAAGTTCATTGGTACGATCCCTACTGATCTATGTTCCTCTAATTTGATAAGAATGTTGATTCTCTTAAAATTTTTTTTCCTTGAATGAATTTAGTGTTATGTTAAAATTTGCAACATATATCTTCTTAGGTGGATAGAAGCAGAAATATGTTTCGTTTGAACCGTGTTTCTTGTTTTTTTTTTTTTTTTTTTTGTTTTTTTTTGGTTTTTTTGTAATTGTGTAACTAACTTTTGAAACATAGAAATGAAAAATGTATTTTGTTTGAAGAATTGAAATGAGAAAGTTGTTTCATTTTGGGATTGGAAGTAGAGTGAACTTGGCTTTGCACTTAAATAATGTATTTGTCAAATTTAAGTTCATTGAGTTTTTTTTTGTTGAAAGTAATTAACCATTGTTGGGTTTTTTTTAGCCACCTCATGTTGTTTTTCATAATCAAGATTTATTACAGCAACTAATGTCATAATCTTTACAGGTGTTTGTTTCATCAAGTGGGTTGAAGGTGAGATAGAGGTTTGAAGGTTGTGAATGAACTTTAGCAAAATGTTGTGGTAATTTTGGTTCAAAGATGCCAGTTGTATTGATATCTTAATGGAAAAATGAATCATCACAGCGAAAGCAATTGATATCTCTTATATGTAAGTATTTTTTTTTGTTTTTTGATATTAATGATGACATGATTTAGCATCCCCGTTCCAGTCATCCGAGATGAGAAAATGCATGAAGATGGAACTTTTATTATGTTTTTACATCTAACTTCTGAGTGTCTTTTTTGATCAGGATATGAAAGCATCATCTTTTGTCCCTTCCTTTTAAAACGTAAATTATTTCATGTATATAGGTCAAGGAGGAGCTTACCACATTGGTTACTTGGAAGACATGTATGAAGACTACGGGAAAAAAAGATGTGAGAGTGATATGGTTTTATCGCAGTGAAGAACTCACGAAACTATGTTATATTCCGGACAAAAATGATGGACAAAAATGATGAATCAGAAGAATTTAGGGAGCTTGTGAGTAAACAAAAAGAGCAAAACGAAGAATCAATGGAAATAATGAAGGCCAAATATGAACAACAAAACATAAGAACCGAGTAGATTAATAAGCAATTACAATCGACAATGGTTGTTATTAGTGCTTTTCAACAACTACAAAACTAGTAGATTATAAAGCGTGAATTTGTTTATTTCAAAGTATTTATTTTAGATTAGCCATTTTCTTTTATTCCATGTAATAAATAATTATTGTATTATTTTATGATATAATGTTATTTGATTTTTTTGTTATTTTTGTTTATCATATATTACTACAAAATAATTTGGATATAATTTATAAATCAATTATCCATCGGTCCATATGGAATCTCTATATAATATACACCAATAGAATTGCTAGGGATTCATGACCATAGAATTTGCTAGGAAGTCATCAAACGGAATTTGCTAGGGATTCAGCACGACGGAATTTCCTACGGAATCACCACCACGGAATTTACTAGGGAATGACCACCATGGAATTTACTAGGGAATCACCACCACGGAATTTGCTAGGGAATCACCACCACAGAAGTTGCTAGGGAATCACCACCACGAAATTTGCTAGGGAATCACCACCACGGAATTTGTGATGTAATAACTACCACGTATTTATGATGGAATCCTATTACGGAATACACGACGGAATACCACCTACCATGGATTTCATTCCGTTGTCACATTTGTGACGGAATTCTCATTTCCGTTACAAACCCTCGCTACGATGTTTTTACGGACAGTAATCGGTCATTGCAAATTTCGTCGCTATTTGTCTTTTGCAACGGAATTTCAGCTTTTCGCAATTGATTCCTTCCGTAGCAAAATCGCGTTTTTCTTGTAGTGATCAAAAGGAATGTTGAGTCGTTTCGCAATTGACGCCTCCTAGGACACCGCAGTTGAATGGTGTTGTTGAGAAACGTAATCGAACCTTGTTGGACATGGTTCGTTCCATGATGAGTCAGGTTTCGTTACATATCTCATTGTGGGGGTTTGCCTTAGAAACTGCCGCCCATATCCTTAACCTAGTCCCTACAAAGAAGGTTGCCAAAACACCTCACGAGATGTGGACAGGGAAAGCTCCCTCGTTGGCACATATCAAGGTTTGGGGTTGCAAGGCTTTTGTAATACGAGAGATTCACGAAAAGATCAAATCTCGTAGTGAGTGGTGTATTTTCATCGGCTATCCACAAAAGTCCTTTGGATATCTCTTCTATAGACCGAGTGACAATGTTGTCTTTGTTGCGAGGAGAGGGGTTTTCCGAGAGCGAAAACTCATAAGCCAAGAGGACAGTGGGAGGAAAATTGACCTTGAAGAGCTTCAAGAGTCAAGCGACAAAGGAACCTCTAACACTGGCGCTCAACCTGAGGAGGAAAGTCCTGTTGAACCAATTGACGAGTCCTTACCTCTTAGACGTTCTAGTAGAGTTAGTGTTCCACCCCAGTTTTATGGTTTCCATATTACTACTGAAGGGGATACATTTATTAGTGATAGCACACTAGTAAATCTGGATGAACCTAAAAGCTACAAGGAACCATGGCAGGCCTGGATTCTGCAAAGTGGAAAAAAGCGATGGACAGCGAGATTCGGTCCATGTATGACAACCAACTTTGGAATTTGGTTGACAACGTACCAGGTCGTAAGACGGTCGGGTGCAAGTGGATTTTCAAGAAGAAGACTGACATGGATGGGAAAGTGCACACTTATAAGGTGCGGTTGGTTGCGAAGGGATTTACTCAAACTCCTGGAGTTGACTATGATGAGACCTTCTCACCAATTGTGAAGATAAAGTCTATTAGGGTCATGCAAGCCATATTTGCGCTTCATTACTATGAAATATGGCAGATGGATGTCAAAACCGCTTTCCTTAATGGGAAGTTTGTTGAAGATATTTGCATGAGTCAGCAAGAGGGTTTTGTCGATACGGAGCACCCCAATAGAGTGTGTAAGCTTGAGAAATCCATTTATGGATTGAAACAAGCATCTCGCAGATGGAATCTTTGTTTCGATGAGAAAGTCAAAGAGTTTGGCTTTCTGCGAAGCGAGGATGAATCATGTGTATATGTCAAAGCCAGTGGGAGTATAGTTAGTTTCCTCGTATTGTATGTTGATGACATACTACTCATAGGAAAATACATCCCAACCTTGCAGGAAGTTAAGTCCTGGCTTGGGAAGTACTTCGCTATGAAGGACCTCGGAGAGGCTGCCTATATTTTGGGAATAAGGATAGTGAGAAACAAGATTAAGAGAGTAATAGGACTTAGTCAGAATACTTACTTGGGCAAGGTACTAAAGTGTTTTAGTATGGAGAATTCCAAGAAAGGGGAGTTACCGATCCAAAGCAATACCAAGCTGAGTAAGACTCAGAGCCCGCATTTGGCTTGACCATGTATGCTATGACTTGTACTCACCCTGATGTGGCCTTCGCTTTGAGCATGGTCAGCAAATATAAACGGAACCCTGGTAGAGCACATTGGACCGCAGCCAAGAATATTCTTAAGTACCTTCGGAGGACTAAGGAATGGTTTCTTATCCTCGATGGGAATGATGACTTAATGGTACGAGGTTATAGTGACGCTAGTTTTCAGACAGACCGAGATAATTATCGATCTCAGTCAGGCTGGGTCTTTTCCTTAAATGGAGTAGCAATGACTTGGAAAAGTTCCAAGCAGGAGACTGTAGCTGATTCAACATGCGAATCATAGTATATTGCAGCAAGCGAAGCGTCGAAGGAGGCAATATGGTTGAAGAACTTAATTGGAGACCTTGGAGTTTTACTAACCGTACAGGAGCCTATGCAAATTTTCTGTGATAACGAAGGTTCGGTTGCCTTAACCAAGGAACCAAGGGATCATGGCAGATCCAGGCATTGGGCTGAAGGACGATATTAGTTTTGATTAGATAGTTTAGAAATGCGTAATAGATAAATTGTAATTAACATTTGATGATTAAATAAAGGAGTATTATTTATAAGTAAAGTTATTGTCTTGTGTTAATTAGTACCTATTGTTTCACTGTGCATGTTTTGACATCCTGAATAACAAGATTATTCGAACAGTCCAAAGTCGTTCATATGCTGGAAGTATATATGAAAGAAGACTGTCATGAATTGGTTTGTAGATTGTCTAAAGTGTATTATACATAGCAAAGGTTTGCTACAAAGTTCATGAGTGCTTATGAATTGAGATTTGAGCATTGGAATAAACCCGCGCTTACTTGTATCACTTCATGGAATTTTATCACGAGTGATCGTAAGACGATAATATCATATAGTCTTTAAACCTAGATATATGGTTTATTGTTTGCTAGTTAGTTGTGCATTGATAATGCGTAAACGCATCAGTAACTTGATGTTATAAAACACATTGTTGTGTATAATTTGATGAGTGAATGGTAAATGCATATAAGTCGAAGTTTATATCTTCCTTTTATCCTAAGAGGGTAAAAGCGTTATTTGGGCCCCTCGATGACTTGGTTTGAATTATGTGTCGGGCCCGGTCAAAACTAAGTAGATGTGTTCAATTAAGTTCTATGTCGAACAAATCAGAGATCGAGAAACAAACTGCTGGAGAATAAGTATGACTACATTCCATGTCACAACTAGCAATTTTGGCTTATGATCTGTATGCATGTACCAACACTCCCTTCATGTATTATGAATGTAATATAGTTTATTAAGTTGAGATGGACCTATTTTGAAAACAATTGCAAGCAAAACACATGAAGGGACTTGTGACACTAGCTTAGGGACTAAAAATGACCAAAGTATGAACTTTCTTGATTTCTCATTTGAGAATTCGGTCATGGAAGTCCATGACTGAACACAAATTGTGTTAGAACAAACTAAACCGAACACCTCCCATGGTTGGGCCTTACTTAACCGATTTCCCAATTAGAGGCCCAACTAAAACCAAATTCCTCATTTCTCACACATATAAGATAGGTTTCCCTAAATTCTAAACCAATATGACCGATTTCCATTATTTGAAGTAAATTTGGTCATGCCTTGTGCATTTAAAGAGTGTTCAGTCAACAATTGGTACTTTCCAGTGGTATATCAATTGTTTAATTAGATATCAATACTTAAAAGATGCATTGGAAGCGGGAAATCGGCTTTACACTCCCATGTCCATCGAATTTCCACATAAATCATCCAAATACCCATCAAATATCCAAGCCCTTTCCAGTACTCCTTAACCCACGAATGGAACATGGTTCACTTCATTTGTGTCTCAACTTTGCACCTCTTTTCTCTCTGGAACTCTTACTTCAAAACAATTTCAAATTTCCTTCAAGAACAAAGGCAAAGTTCTTCAATTTCTTCCAACATCTAAGTGATTCTTAGTTTTGGTAAGTATCCCAACAACCTCCTAGTAATCATACACATATTATTGTTCAATTTATGCTTCCTTAAACCCATAAATTTCATGTGTACACCTCCTAGGGTGTTAGGAACTTCTAGTGTTCTTCAAGGAAAATCTTAGAGTTTTGAGCTACAAACTCTTCTCTACACTTCAAACCCTTCCACAAAACAACCAAAGTGAGCTTCATACCCCTTTATTTTCATGATTTACCATATTTAGGGGGGAATACAAGCTTAGTTTTTCTGTTGAATCTTGAAATGTATGCTTGCATGTGTATGTTTTTCATGATTATGTGTGTGATATGTGGTGAAATCTTGATTTCTACATGAACTCAAAAATGTCACCATATTTTGAAGATATGACAAAATAACTTACCTTATGTAGCTTTATAAAATGGTTGAATATTTTAACATGTTCAAAACTACACAAAGAAACTAAAAAAAAATACATGAAAGGACTATATTTGTCAATAATGTGAAAAATGGGCTAAAAGCGTTATTTTCATAAAACTAAACTCCTTTTATGTCATTTTCGGAAGGAAAGGAACTAAAATGGTTATTCTCACGAAAATGAACCATTTCTTTAATTTTAAATAAAAAGGGGCCAAAAAGGGAACTTTTACCAAGTTGAGGCCAAATATGACATTTTTATTTAAAATGGGCCTACAAGGAATTATTCAACAATGTTGCGCCAGATGTGGCAATTTCACATAAAAATGGATCTTAAGTTAATCTTTTTAAAAATTGAGCCATTTTTGACACTTACGGAAATTATGGTTCCAATCCTAATATTTTGGGTAAAATTGAGCCATTTCCGACACTTTCGATAAAAAGG